TTTTCAGGTGATTATCATTATGTTTGATACTTTTGGGTACTTCTTTTCTGCTTAAGTGAGATGATGGGTCACTGCATATCTACATTAATAGTTATACTGAATTTTCTCCTAGAATGGTTGCAACATTTTAGCATCAGACAATTTTTGCCATTCCACTGGGTGAAAATGGGCATTGCAACATTACATCATGCGTTCATGTTTCCCTGATTATTAATAAGGTATTAAGGTATAGCATCTTTTTGAGTCTATTTATTTTTTCTTAAAAATAAACTGGGGATTGAACCTCAGGTGCTTTAAAACAAAGATACCAACCCCTAAGCCTTTGCTAAGTTGCTTAGGGCCTTGGTATGTTGTTGAGGCTGGCTCTAAACTTAGAACCCTCTTATCTAAATTTCCCAGATCACTGGGTTTACAGATGTGCTCACTGCAATAGTGTTTTTGAGTCTTCATTAGTCACTGTCATTCATACTTTTTATATTTCCACAACACACAAGACTGAGAATGAAGTCATCATACACACACAAAAAGTTTGTTGAATTCAACTGGGTGAACTGAGGGCAATTTGGGTCAAATGATTTTATTGTAAAATTTCACCAAATACACTCTGAGGACACTTGGCAAATTCTAGTATTATCAACTCCTCAAGTATTCCTTACTCCACCAAAAGCCTTCAGGCTCTCAGCAGTGCATCATTCTTTCCCTTATCCAACAGTTCCACTGCAGAATCAAATATGCAAATGCATTGGCAAAAAGTGAACTGGGTCAAAGGCAACTTCCTCCAAGGGTTTTCTAGGTGGGTCTATGGAAAATTGGAGGTAGGTACATTTGTTAATCACTGCAGAGGTGTCTATGTCCTAACTAATAAAGCTAGTTACTGTTAGCCTTCTCCAAAAGTTAAATTACAATCATCATTATTGATGCCAAGAGAAAAAAACAAGCCCAGAGAACACAGAATCTGGAACTCTCCTACACTGTAAAAGCACCTTGAAAAATGTCTGGCAGTATCTACTAAATTGAACACACATATACACTTAATCTTAATTCTATTTTTAGGTATAGCTCCGAGTAACATGTAAATATATACACAAAACACATGTAAATGATGTTCATAAAGACATATTTGTAGTAGTTCCCAATTAAATTAACCCCAAATTAAACCCAAAATTAACTATAGAACAGGTAAATATTGGTATAGTTACCTACTAGTATATCATAAACAATGAAATGAATGATTTATTCTTACATCAAACAAGAGATATAAATGAAAGGAACATAATGTTGAGGAAAAGAAGTCAGACACAAGAAAATACATACTGTTCAATTCCTACATAAAGTTGAAAATCAGACATAACCAATCTGTGATGTCAGCTCTCTCTCCAGGGAAGGAATATCAGCTGGGAGAATGGTGGGTTTTGGGGGGGGCGGGGCTGGCAATGTTCTACTAGCTAAACATGTGTTCATATCCAACAACAAGATTAACACTAACAATAAAGAACTAACATAACAGTTGCATGATCATGAAAGTGAATTCAAGAAATGGACTCAAAACAAGCGCTAAATGAGATGTGAAAGACTCACATCAAAATAATCTATATAACATGACATTGTAAATCTGTTTAATATAAACAAAACAACTTTTGGTAATTTTGCTTGTTCAAATTTGCATTAATTAACATTTTAAATTAACCTCAGGATTCCCTATCTCCAAGCATAAGAAGTGCCTTTCTAATTTCATAATCTTTGGCAGAAATTTGTATATTAAACTTAATGCAAAAGTATGTGTATTAAGGAGTCAAAAATCCATGTTAGGAAAAGAAAATATTTCTTATGAGAGCCCATCCTCCCTTTCATTTTTGGCATTTCTATAGCACTCCTGGTAATATTTGTTACCAAGTACTATCCTCACTCCTTGAGGATTTTCCAGTTAAGGAGATGTTAATTAAGAACTGTACCTTTACTGATTTCTTTTATAGAGCTTCTAAATTGTTCAATTTAATAACCGTAATGGAAACAGCTTTCATTATTTTAATAGTTCTATGTTTAACTGCAAAGCTTTTATGACTTTATAAACCACAGTTCCCCTTTCCCAGACTATAATCTCAGAATTCCATTCTTAGCTTAATGGAAATATCATGTGACTGAATTTTTGTCTAGCTCTGTAAAAAAAACTCCCTCTGAGTTTGAAGTGTCATTGAACTTTGCAGGCATCAAATAACAGATTTGTATCTGTAAAAGAAAATAGTCCTTTGTTTTTAGAATTAAAGAAATAAACCTTTTGCCAATAATAATTTTCTAAAGGCTCAGACTCTTAAAGGTAGAATCAAGGACATATGGGCTTGTTCTCTCTTCATTTCCCCCACCAAAAAGTGTGTGGGTTAAACTCAGTGAATTTTATTTCTTAGTGCTGAGTTTAAGATCTTACAGTTTTAGATTTAGGTGGGTCAAAATTTATATTGAACTTATTTCTGCTAGTGATCTACATATTCCAAATATTGTTACGCATAAAAAAAAGGTCCTCAAAATAACCCCATCTTTTCCTCAAAAACACAGCCAAGTGTGCATAAGCAATGCCAAGAGCTCGAATTGGAGAGGAGCCTGCATCATAATGGGGGATTCCTACACCTCATGACCTGTGCTCTAACAGGTCACTAGTCACCAGTGGCTACTAACTGTTAAATTAAGGAACATTAAATACAATATAAAAGTCAGTTCCTGCAACTCCCTAGCCACATTTCAAGTGCTTGATAGCCACATGTAGCTAGTGGCCACCACACTGGACAGCACAGATATAGATTATTTCATCACGCAGGAAGTTCTGTTGGTCAGCACTCCTTTAGGTAGGAGTTAATTCCAGTTCATGGTTCCTAAAATTATCAGCTGTGGCTGCATAAGGGTACAGTGTGGCATTTGGATCAGAATAATAAACAAACACGATTTGGTCCAGAAATAAAGCATTTAAAAAAGTAGGAGTAATAATTATAATCCTGAAAGCATGGCAAGGCTTCAGTGCAGACTAGTAGGGGAAATGCCACCCAGAATCAGGTGGCTTGAGCTTTACACCTGGACTTCAGCTGTGTGTCCTTTACTTACCTGTTAGAAGCAGCCATATGATATCTTCCCCATTTCAGGGAGGGATGGATGTCAAACAAGCTTAAATGACAACACTGCTTTGTAAAGTGGGCAAGCACTTGTTGTTCACATTATTATTCATATTTAAACACTTTTGGTGTATTCAGTAAACCTGACTCTGGCAAATGCTCACCTCATTGTAGTACTCAGAACTGAAAAGTCATATGGAGGTGATTTGGTAAACGACTGTTGAATTGTTTTTCAACAAGATACTACTATTCATTTCTAAAAATGAGCCATGTTCAAATACATTCCTTTGTATGGTGCTATCTCAGAATGAACCAACCATACTGTTCACTGAAATAAACTTGGCAGGAATAACTTCCATTTATGTAGTTAGGAATCATGGCTATAACCAGAGAGGCAAGAATATCATAGAGGTAACCTACACCAAACTTTTTTGTCCTTTAATATACCATCCTTCTAAGATTTTTCATTTGGCCATTGGGAGCTTATTATTATGCTCCATCTTAGAGGATGAAATGTCTATAACAAATTACTTGGAATTCTTTTATATAAGAATGAGTTTCTTCTCATTTATTTATTTGTTCCACCATAAGATTCATTGGTATTTACTTTGTACTTTGGGTTATAATTCAATCCTACTTTCAGATTGTCCCAGCTTTGGCCAATAGATCCATTCTGAAGGATCCACTCATCTCATGTTCCTGTTCTGCATACACCAGCTGCATTTCATGCCAGGAGGTTTGTGCTTCATCTGCAGCTATAAAGGGAGCTGTCATAGTGCCCTCTAATTTTTTCCATTCCCCCTTCACAGCAAAACAAAACAACAACAAAACCAACCAAACAAAACAAACAAACAAACAAAAGACCTCACACAGATCTTTCAGACTATGGTTAAAAGAAAGTACCTGTAAGTGGTGAGGGCAGCTGCATTTCTGACTAGGTGGGGGAAGAGGAGGGAAGCACAAGTGGATTTCTTCAAAAGAAAAAATGGACAGGGTCAGCCATGGAATTTACACCAAGAAGGTGAATAACTTCTGTTTAACATCCTTTGTCTTGGATTGCTCCCAACCCAGCGGGAGGAGAGATGGATTAAGATCAATAAAGACACTAAACATCACCATGAGAATGAAGTTGGGAGAGATTTCATGAATGGATTTTTAAAACTAAGGAAATTGCACACCAAAATTTGAGATTACCTTCAAGATAAAACAACCCTTACTTAATAACAGTGCCTTAACATGATTTCATTAAGTTTTTAATAAACTTTTCATTTTAGTTTTAGATTTATAGAACAATGACAAAGACAGCACAGCAGGTTCTCACATGTTCCACATTGTTTCCCTATCAACATCTTACAGTGTCATGGCACATGTGTCACAATAAATGAAACATCAAAGACTGATATACTGCAGACTAAATTCCCTACTTTCTTTATACTGCCTTAGTTTTTATCTAATGTCCCCTTCCTGTTCCAAGAGCCCATGTTACATTTAATCATTCTGTTTCCTTAGGCTACTTTTGACTGTGACATAGTCTCAGACTGTGATGACCTTGACAGTTCTGAGGAGTACTGGTTAGATATTTTGTAGAATATTTCTCAGCTGGGATTTGTCTAATGTTTTCATGATTAACTGGAGTTACAGGTTTTGGGGAGTGTAATGGTTAATTTGAATTGTCACCTTGATTGGATTAAGAAATGCCAAAGATTAAGAGGCTTCTGGTGTGCCAATGAGGGTGTATCTAGGAATGATTGGCATGTTAGATAGTGATCTGAAGTGGAAACCCTCCCTAAGCATGGGCAGCACCATCTAATAGGATGGTGGCTTGGATGGAAGAACAAGGAAGCAGCAGCAAATGCAAACTTGATTCTTCTTGAAGGGGTTCTTGATTGCTGCTGGGATTACCTGAGGATATCAGACTCTTGCTCCTTCACTCTTGCAAAGGGGACTCTGCCAGTGATTCTCCAGAAGCCTCTGGTCTCAGACTGGGGTAGCACCATTAATCCTTCTTGTTCTGAGGCTTCAGCCTCTTGGAATGGGCAGCTACTGGTTCCCCCAGCTCTCCAGCCTGCAGACAGCCATTGTGGACTATCCAGCTTCTGGTTGTGTAAGCCAATCTAATAAATCCCACCCCTTTTAAAAAAAATTTTAATGTTTATTTTTTAGTTTTCAGCAGACACAACATCTTTGTTTGTACATGGTGCTGAGGATTGAACCCTGGTCTCAGGCATGCCAGGCGAACACGTTACCGTTTGAGCCACATCCCCAGCCCATAAATCCCCTTTTTATAATCATACTTCCTGTAGATTCTGTTCCTCTGGAGAACCCTGACTAATACAGGGAGGAAGGCCATGAAATTATAGTGCCATTCTCATCACATATATAAGGAGTGCAGACTACAAGTATGGCTTACCACTGTTGATGCTGACCTTTATATTTTGGCTAGGGCAGTACTTGTCAGGTTTCTCCATTGTGAAAAAAGAGAAAAAATATATTTTTTTTTTTCGGGGCTGGGGATATGGCTCAAGTGGTAGCGTGCTCGCCTAGCATGTGTGAGGCATGGGGTTTGATTCTCAGCACCACATAAAAAATAAAAATAAAAAGATATTGTGTCCACCTAAAACTGAAAAATAAATATTAAAAAAAATTTTTTTTCAGTGGTACTGGGGACTGACCCAATGGCCTTGTGCTTATTAAGCAAGCAGTCTACCACTAAGCTACATCTCCAACTACTCTTCACTATAAAGTTACTCTTTCCCTCCCTTCCCATACAGTACTCTTTGTAAGGAATGTGCAGCCCACACTTAAGGAGTAGAGAGTTATAGTCCATCTCCATGTCCGCAACAAATTACTTGCAATTCTTTTGTATGAGAATTAGTCTCTTCTCATTTATTTATTTGTTCCACCATTTATTTATATAAGATTCATTGGTATTTACTTTGTACTTTGGGTTATATACTTAATTAATTTTGTTCTCAAACTGTTCCAGCTTTGGCCACTGGGAGCTCTATCATTGGATTCCTGTGTCTCTTTGACATGCCTCCATCATTTACGTTTTTATTTATTTATTTTTTACACTTTACTCTCTGACCTGCTCCAAGGTCTTCTTGTATAATTCCTGCACTAGTCCTACAGCTGAACAGTACTCCAAGGAATCTGTTCCTATTACTAGAGAATGGTAATAAGAGATACCAAGATCTGGAGACTAAGTGCCTTCTCTGGCTTTTAAAGGTGCTTTCACACATACACATTTCTCTCTTTTCCACATCTTCATTAATAGATGAATAAACTAAGGCCTGGAGTGGTAAGGGATTTGCTCAAATCATGGCTAATAATGGTAATGCTGGCATAAAGTCAGTCTTCTGATGATGGTTCCATGTCCTTTTCACCATCTGATGTCATTTAGATGAGAATACACTAACAATTTGTAAGAAAAACAGAAAAAAGAAAGGGCACTTTCAGAAGAAAGTCTTTTCAAGAGGGAAAATTTAACAGGGTCATCTGACAGACTCTCCTGTCTATCTAAAGAAACAACTAGAGAATCTGCCTTCCTTAGAAAGAGTTCTTTAGTTATACTATAGCAGGGGTTCTCAACTGGGTGTGATTTTGCTCCCCACCCTCGGGGAAACGTTTGGCAATGTCTGGAGGCATTTTTGGTGGGGGAAGGCTCTGTTATTGGTGTCTGGTAGAGAGGACAGGAGGGCTGCTCAACATCCTTCAATGCACTGAAGGGCACCCACACAAAGAATTACCTACTTCAAAATGGGAAGTGCAAGGTTAGCCAAAGGAGTGCCTAGAGAAGAATTTCATCCAATTTTATACCATTTCTATTCTTGCTGAATTATTTTATTTTTTTTTGTTGGTGGCTTATGAAGGACAAACATGGAAAACTGTCCCATTCTGTGAGTTAGCCTACCATATGGAATGTGGCTCTTGATTAGGTAAGAGACTTGCTATGATTCTTACCTATGGGACAAACAAAAGAGGTCATGCTCTTTAAAGTAAGTTGCCTGAGTCCAGCAATAACTTCCTCCAGGTATCCCGAGGGGGAAGGTCTATCTCCCACGGGGCCACCATTGACTGGCTGCATCTCCTGGTTCAGGAACAAGTTGTGCAGAACAGTGAGGTGGCTTGGAAAATCTGCCAACAATTGGGTGAACCTTACTAATTAGATGGCTGTTACCCAGAAACTGTTGCTCACCACTTGGTGACCTCAACTTGGAGAGGAAGCAAGTGACTGAATCCCTATTTGTTGATGTATTCAGTGACCACCCAGCAGTTTGACAGGAGAAAGAAAGTTTTTTGTTTACCAGGATCTCTCTTGGAAGTTTTAGAAAAAGCTTGCTCACTCTTGAGACTAACATGTCAATAAAGGACATTTTCTGAGCAAAGCTAGGTGCTCTGTGGCCACACACTGCCAATGGCCACTTGGAAAGATTTCAGAGAGCTTAGGGCAGCAGTATCATGTGGGCTGAATCTACCTGTGGAGCACCTGATGTAGCAGACATGTTTACATCAAGTGCTTAGTGCACCATAATGCCTGGTACACAATAACAGTTCATCAATGGTAGCAACAATACAGAACAAATATTTACTTAGTGCTTTCCTTATGTGAGGCTCTGTGCTAAGTGCTTTATATGTTATCTCACTTGACTCCTCACAACTAGCCTATGAGATAAATACAATTATCAGATTTCATATGTAGAATTGAAAGTAATTGTGCGAATGGCTAATGTTAATAAAAAAAAAACAGTAGAGCTGGTATTTAAATCTCTGGTATTTAAAATATGGATACATTTATTACCAAATTATATTGTCCTTTATCCTCACTATAGCACCACTGCACCTGGCAGTTTGTTCCTAAGATGTGGCAGATGGTGGGGGTCATGAATGCTAACAGTTATTGCACCCATTTTCTAATGATTCGGGGTTTTTTGTTTGTTTGTTTTTTAGTTCTTCAAATCAGTCAAGAAGATAATCAGATCTAGTAAGGAAACAAAGCCTTTCTGTGGGTTTTGCAAAAACTTCAGTTTTAAGTCTCATATGGCCCCTAGGAAAGGGAATGGTGCCTGCAAATTGTGGGTGCTATGTAGTTCAAGAGGCTGACACAGACATCACTAACGGGCAAAACAACCAGTATCCAGATGCCCATTAAGGCTCAGGCCTGATGAGGCCCAGCTAGAGAGCAAAAGCGATCCCAGACACTTGAAAGGTTGAGGCAGTAGGATAGCAAGTGGGGGCAATAGCTGGCACACTGACAATGGAGAAAGGAGGTGGGGGCGGCAGTCCAGAGGATGCCCTGTCCCACCAGGGACAAGACCACCTGTTTCTCCCTCTGGCTCTGAGGCTATGGCTCTGAGAAACACAGGCAGCTGCAGGGGAGTAAGGACCCTTAGAGATCAGGTCTTCCAGAAATGAAAGGAAAAAGAGCCGGCTAAGTGCTACTGAATAGGTGTCTAGAGAAAACACATCTATTCTGTTTGAAAAATATCTCCAAAGTCAGGATAGAAGAAGGGTAGAAAAGGAAGCATATCCTCTCCTGGTCTCATGAAGAATGGTGCCTGGCTCATGATAAATATTATGTGAATGTTAAAAACAGCATGTACATGTGCAAGAGGAATAGGTGGGGAGTCTGAGCCAGGTCTCCCACAGCGTGGATGAGGAGCCAACAAACATGACCCAGAGAGTCAGCAACACTGGCAAAATGGTCATAAATGTGACAGCAGACAGGGTAAATACTATTTTGTTTGCTGTGTAATGAAGCTACTCCTGTCCTCCTAACCCCTAGCTTCTACATACTAAATATAATTTTACAAAATAACATCCAAATATTTTAAGCATTTTTGAATGGATCTTTATGCTAGTAAAATAAAAACGTCACTGAAAAGAGATACCTGTTTGTTTTAAATCATACTAATTAGCAATAATGAGTTGATATATAGTTTGGGGAAAATATTTAGGAAATGTTTAAATGTTTAAGCACAATAGATTGACATTTTAATTATCTGGACTCTCCCATTGATATGTATTTTGTCATAGTTTGCACAATGCAAAACACAAAAAATTTAACATACATTTAGGAAATTACAAGTCTGACTTGGAAAATACGAATAATCTATCAGTTAAAATAACACAATTCCTAAAAGCTATTGCTAAGTGATTTGATGTTTAAGCCATTACAAAACTTTAGATGCTTATAAAATACATGATTGAGAAGGACAGAAAAATGTCCATTTTGAGATATAGTCTGACTACTGCAGATAGCATGAGGTCAAGAGATCACAGGGATAACAGAATACCATATTTAGCTCTTTAATATTAATGATATTGGTCATCTGTGAAAATATCAATCGCAGCATCTTATAGTAGGTGTTCAAATTCTGGGAATATAAATAAATAATTAAATGACAAATACTCATTATCAAATATGGTTAAAAGATAGGGAATCTCTCCCCATCTCCCCATTCCTGTTTCCCAATTTGTGGTTCAAAATCAATCTCTCTCTCTTTTTTTTTTTTTTCAGAGATGGGCACATATAATCCCAGAGACTTGAAAGGTTGAGGCAGGAGGATAGCAAGTTACAGGCTAGCCTAAGCAACTTAATGAGACCCTGTCTCAAAATTAAAATCTCATTTTGGCACCGTTAAACAGGAGTAGAAAAGAGTATCTTTTTGGTCTTTAAACTCCATCCATTATCTCATAGTGTACTAAATGCATATTAAACTTGTTTAATTGCTGAGTTATTATTGTTGATCTAAATTGATCTACATTTCAATCTTTGTCAACGAATACATTTAGTTGATTTGATATCAAAAGAATCTATTATGTTCTAAAGACATGCCTTCTTAACCAGAAATTTGAAAGTTGTCCTGGTAGCTGTCTTTCTAACCCCTAATTATGTAACTTTTGGGGAGAGAACAGGGAATGATATGAAAGTGATCATTTCAAATGTGGTCAGAAGAGTATTTTGATTATTACTGGCATTACTACATTGAACTACTCTTTAAAAATGAGTATTTTAAAAATGATTTGGTCAGGCTGGGATTGTGGCTTAGCAGAACACTCACCTAGCATGTGTGAGGGCCTGGGTTCGATCCTCAGCACCACATAAAAATAAGTAAATAAAATAAAGGTATCATGTCCAACTACATTTTAAAAATAAATATTTTTAAAAAATGATTTGGTCATGATCTGGCGATAACCAAGCTAACCTGGTATTTTATCATTACCCCTTCAGTACAAAAGACTGTTAATTCAATAAAATTTTAAGGTAAATTTAATAGAAAAATATAGTAAAGAAAGTAGTGTCTCTATAAAATTTCCAGTGTTTGGAAGAATACATAGTCTTCTCTTGGTACATCATTTTTATACTATATTGGTATAAATCCTGGTGTAAGGTAAGACATAAGCAGTAATACACTGTTTTACTTACTAGCATAAATTGTGCACTGCAAATTGAGTCTGTTTTACAAAAATTTACTTTCTTGACATATCAGTGAAAAAGAGAAGAGAATAATGACAACATAAATCATAATATGATACAAGCTGACTCTAGGCTGGAAGGCAAAAATCACTCCCTACTACCCAGAGTTAGCAGAACACAGGGAATCTGGAAGGAAGGGTGAGGAGGGGTGACAAGAAAGTAAGACAACTTTAGGCTTAAAGAATTATAGCAGACCTTCTAGATCTGCTGACTTTTTGCCATCAGAACTTAATACATGCTTGTATCAAAGTAATATGTACACAGGAAAAATACTACAAGAGAATAGAGTAGCTTGTAATGAAAACAAAAATAGGCTCTAGCTCTGTCCTTGACCTTCTTCAGTATTGCTCCCAAAGGTACCATACTTAGTCATTTGTTTTTAACTCTTCTGTTAATTTATATTTACAAGTCTAAATATATAATTATTACACTAACAATTTATATTCACAGCTCTAAACATTTAAATTCACAATTCTAAAAGATCAGTATATTCTCAGTTTAAAAGCTATAGACAATTATCAACTGACTTCCCTCTAAGAAATGAGGATTTATTTAACTTGTATTCCTCTTTATTATTCTTTCCCTTCTTCATAATTTTTATAGTTATACTGGCCACCGCTAACTTTAAATAATATACTTAGAGTGTTATTGTTCCATCAATTTAAAATTCCTCACAACAGAAAATATGCCATTAGAGATTTTCCCCTTCTACCAACTCTCCAATCCCCTTCTATATCCTAATCTCTGTTACTATCATTTTTTTTCAAGTTATCAATCTTTCTACACTGTCTATACGTAGTTTTTCAAAATTTAAAGGCAAATTATGTATTTACTGTATTGCGAATATTGGTTTTTGTAAAAACTAGTTATGAGCTAGAATTACATTTCTATTTCTAGAGTTCAATTTTTGTAATCTTAGTCATTTGAAAGAACATGTTGCCAGAATAAACCCAAATGGATTTCCTTTTTCTTTATTTTCATAATTGCTCAAAATCATGCCACATTTTTATTGCGTAAGGACTAGACCATGATGTTATTGCTCAGCTTTTTACTTTACCTGCAGTTTCCGACTGCCTTTATTTTTATATCATTCACCAAATCTTCAAATTTTTACATTATGATTGTATACTTGGGTCCAACATATAAAGATGACAAACTCAAGGTTTACTGTAGCAAAATTACAATTAAAACAAACTTTTGAAAATATAATGTTTTAAAATACTTAAAGACAATTGTTTACTCTGTGTTGGTTAGCACAGGGATGAGATAGATACATTCTGTATTATTAATGACATTCATTTATTTGGGGGGTTTATAAAATACTTTCTAAACATCTAATTTTATGCACTCAATCCATTAAGCAGGCAATATTTTCTCCATTTCACAGATAAAGCAATTTAAGATTAGAGGGGCTGAGAGAACAAACGCAGCAAGTAAGTTGCAATTTCCAGATTTTAAATCAAGTTTTCAAAAAATTTTCAAAGGCCAGTGTTCTTTGCTTCTACCTCAGCTGCCTGACACATGAGGTCTTTCTGTCCTTTATTTAGAAGTAAAGCATGATTTTTTTTAATTTTTAAAAAGGTTTTGTTATCAATTATAGCACTCCT